CTCATAAAACTGGGGCAGAGGAAAATATCTCGGCGCTCGGAGACAAAGAGGAAGCAGAGGCAGTGAAAATTCAAAACAGAGAGACCGACTTCATGTTCCGCGGGTCTTTATGGAGTCGCATGCTTGTTCGCTCGGACAGAGACAGATTTTGTGAGTTAAGGACATGTTCGGTCTGGGTTGTTGGCGGATGATATATAGATGTCATCTGGACAGGAGTATTTGAACCCCGGCTTGACATCTTTGCTGTCAGACTTGTCAAACATGCATGTTGTCTGGCAAAAGAGGAAATCAGTGTAACTCTCTCAAGGCTGAACGTCTTTGTCATGGGGGAGCGATTGCATAATTCTGTGAGATCACAAGGCCTGTAGGAAATGTAAGAGGACAGTGATGTCTCCAGCTGCTGATGTTGGATGTATGTGCTGGCAGCACAAGCAACGAATGCATCTAATATGTATACTCACTCCAAGCTCAACTCACATCCTTGATTACCAACTTAGACATTAAATTTCCAGATGTTCCCTTTTGCACGCCCGTCTTTTCCTGATGCTCGTCTGTCTGTCTACCGGCAGAGGGCGTCTCTTTTTTTTTTTTTTACTTGTGAATATTTCACTGCGCAGACCTGCACTGAGTTACAGGCGTTGGCTATGTGTGGAGCTCAGACAATGAAAGGACCCTAAAAATGAAAAGCAGTATAAAAAAATAGTATTTGTATGTTGAAGAACTTTTACGGACTTTGTTTCTCTTCACAGGATGGAACCGAGTCCAGATTGTGTCGCTGAGGCGAGATTTCCTGTCGGAGTGCATCGACGATAAGCGGTAAACTCCCAAGTCACGTATTAACCCAAGTCTCTTTTTAGAGGTTACTTCTCTCATTCTGTGAGATGTTACGTATTATTTGATATTTAGAATAAATTATAATGAAGTGGTAAATGTAATGATTTTATTTAAACCATTTAACATTATTAAACTAGACATTTATTTAGAAATAATCCTGTAACTCTGCACATTTTTTTTTTTAATCTGTGAATGAGTGATTTGAACTGCCGGCTCCAAGACGTCCTGCTTTAGTGTGCTTCATTGTCCCTGAGACCCTTAACCTGTGATGATTTCAAAGGTCACAGGTGAGGTCCTTGGGAACAAAGTTTCACGCTATTACTTCAAGAAGCCAAAACATTTTCTGTCATTCATCCATGAAAGCGCATTTTGCAATGTCGCAGCCTCCGTCGAGCACAAATGACTGCAAATATCATTCCGAATGATTAGAAAGTGGCTTTTTTGTTTCAGTTAAAAAATGCATGTAGAGAAACATTCCCACATATTATTAAAATGAACAACAGCAGTGATGTTTTTTGGAGGGGACAGCACCTTTCGGCTGGCTTTGTGCACTTTATGCATCACCATTTTAATAAAAAGACAGCCAAAGGTCGTGACCCCGACGTTATGACCCGCATTGGATTTTTACATCTGTTCAGGAGAAAATGACGTCACTCTGGAGACATTTGGACAAAATCTGACAATCGGTTGCAGTTTTTTTTGTGTGTAAGAAAACTGTAACTGTGATGTGAAAATGGATTATGTTCTGAAGTTTACTCATGATGTTCTTTAATAAATATTTTTATTAGATACAATAAAAAATAATTAAAACAAATCACAACTTTTGGGAACTTAAAGCATGTGCTTTTTTAATCTCCGCATTTAGATTGTGAAAAAATGCCAATAAATGAATGTTTCTTTTAATATTTGTCAATAAATGTTCTGCTTTGACATAATAAAAGTCTTACTTCTGTACTTGTTTTGTTGCACCTCTTCCATACACCCCAATCAATCTGTTTTCAAGATTAAAAAAAAAGAAGTTTGTTTTAACCACCATGTAAATTTCACATGCACTTGCATAAGTTTGGTCTTTCTGGCGTCTGACAGGACAAATGTGGAGCGCGTTACATATTTTTCTCCTCTGTTCACCTTTGTAAGATGAGATAAGTATCTGTTGTTAAGATCAACGTGTAATATTTGGCTCGGGCAGAGAAGACAAACAAAAGTTCTCTGGTGAATTAAAGGAACATAATAAGGCTTTCTGTCGGGCTCTCGCCCTGACATTCAGCCTGTGTGGCTCAGTGTTCCCTGGCTCGCAGCCCTGCGTGTATTTGTGTGTCCCAGGACAGTTGACATTGATTGTTCAGGAGACAGACTGAGACACATTAGTACCCAGCTCGTTCCTGCTGCTGAAAAACACATTAACCGGCTGCATCGGGAGCCCTGTCTGGTAACCATGGCAAAGTCCACAGGCGGGGGAGGAGGAGGGCTGTGATGGGGCAGCGGGTTCAGCGCTCCGTCTCTCAGGGACCGTCTTTCTCAAACGCGCCTTCCCTTTCCTCCGGCCACGTCTGTCATTGTCTGTCAGCCTCTCTTTCCCCGGCTTTTCACTCTCCATCTCCTCTCATAAACACATTTGCATAGTTCTTTTTCTTCTCTTAGGTTCCTCTTTTTGATGCTGCTCCTGACCTTACCTCGTTCTCTGCTTTTTTTAATCCAAGTTCTCCGTGCAACATAATCTGCTTCCTTGTCACTTTATTTTTTTTATGCTTTTCCACCTAAATGACTTCCTTCTCAACTGGATTTCTGTTTAAAGGGAAGCAGTGAGGAAAAGATGTGGGACAATGTGAGAAACTAGAAGGAAGAACATGGATCTTTCTGGTTCTGTCATTTGTGCTACTTTTAATTAAAATAATTGTGTATAAAATGCTTTTGCTGTACTTCTATAACAGTGGCACATTTATTTTTTTTATTAATAAAACTACATTCCTGCAATAAACTGCAAAACTGACTTTAAATCTGTACTTGGACTCATAATCTTATGTCTTTGTGAGCATGTACATAGTTTTATTTTTACTTTTCAAGACATTAAATGTGACAATTAGAGGCAGTTGAAAATAATTGCACAGGTAATAGTCATGGAAATATAGAAGACTCATAAAGTTTTAATAAAATTAACCACACAAGAATAAATAAAGCTTGGAGTAACGTAGAGAAATGTCTTCATGTCTTTTTAAATAAATTATAAGAAGGAATGGTTTTAATTTTTTTCATTTTGTTTAAAAGTATAATAACACTATGAAGCTTGACAACATAAGTCAAGCTTATCAGCTGCTTCATTATGTTTTACAGCTTAAAAAAAGAACTGCACTGAAATAAACTTCATAGTTTTGTTTCTTACACAAACATGCAGCTCACATTAAAGATCTAGTAGCAGTGATACAAAAAAGTATTGCTTTTCCTTGACATGAATTACTTTGCAAATCAAACGAATAAAACTTACTGTAGTGCTTTTGAATCATTGCACAGTTTAATTAGTATTTAAATAATAATAAAAAAGATTTTCCCTCTTCAGAAAACTATAAATCCACCTGTTTTGCAGCGCTTGTTGACATAACTGAACAGCTGTGCACACAAATCTTTCACTTGATCAAATTCACGCATTAATTAAGTCTCTTATTACGAGCCTTGCTCTTTTACAGCTAATTAATTTTTCAGTTAGATCTGTGCACCACAAATCACATTTTGTTTTCATATTTATAATCTAGTATTTGATTAATTTAAGAAGTTTGTTGTAAATTCACTTGTCAAACCCCTACCTCAGCTAATATTTTTGTCATTGGCAAACAATCTTTGTCGAACTTTGCCGTTTTTTCCCCTCACAGTTGTATCTTGAAGGATGTAGGAAACTATCAAAGAAATTATGGGTTCATTCATTTCTCACTTTTACAACCAGATATTGAATAAAATAAAAAAAACTCGGATGAGCAAGAATAAATTACTTTAGACGGTGTCATTATTTAAAACGACATAAAGTAAAAGCAGAGTGAGGAAAAGTCTTTGCCTCCATAAAGAGTGCAGCTGAATCAGCAACAATTCATCATAAACCACAAGACTGCAGGAACTGTTTGACAGGTAAGACATCTATTCCTGAAAAGGCATTTCAGATTATCAGCAAAAAACCTGATAACTGCAGTCAAGCATGGTGGGGGAGGGATAGTGATTTGGGCCTGCTTTGCACCCACAGAATGTGCAACTTGCAATCACTGAGCACAATACTGTATAGGAAAAAATACCATGGAACTAGCATGGATGAAGCTTAGCCTCACAACAAAGCTATCTCAACATGGCAAGACTTTATGACATATTTTTGTGAGATTGTTTACTTATGTAGGTAAAACTAGATGTTTAACAACCTGTTAAAATATAACATAATGCAGGAAATGGCATCTACCCCCCCCCCCCACACACACACACACACACACATACATACACACATTACAAATGCTTACACCAATGGCCAACACGTTGCTAAAGAAGTACACAAATGTTACCATATGGTGTTCAAAGTGTGATCAACTCAACTCAGTCTTGATTTGCATTAACAAGATGACATAGTAGCATTTATAGTTCTATGAGCATTTGGATTTTTATACATAAAATACACTTGTTAGTTAGAATTTTAAGTATATTTACGTATATTATGTTAATTCTGTATTTTGCCAGATTATGGTGATTCTGGGATCATGATGATGGGGCCCTTGAAGATTGTTGCCCAGGGTACTGCGAAGTGTTAATCTGGCCCTGCCCAGGAAGAATAGACTTTGCTGTGTGGCTTAACAGGAATCCTTAAATCAAATCAGTAAAATAATCAAGGTGTTGCAATTAAAGCAAAAAACTTCAACTAAGCGGAAATACTGTGATGAGACCTAAAATGAGTTGTGCATGAAGATGCTTGAACAGTGTTTTTTAATATTCTAAGACCGATCTATATAATTTCCATCACTGCGTGTACTATCTTAATTGTTCTTTAAAAGAAAACGTTACTGAGTTCAATGTCGATAAAAATATGAATAAAAATTAATAGAAACGAGTCAGCGCAATAAAAACGAATGAACGCAGTGAAGGTGGACAGCGGAACTATTTTGCAACGTGGTTGTTTCCTTCACGGACAACCGGAAGTAGTCGCAAATTTGAACAGCCATCACTGCAACAATAAACGCGCACTTTCACTTCACGGTAAGTGTGAAATAAAAAATATTGAAAAAATAATAATAAAAATTAACAAAAATCTTGCAGGTGATTGCTTTAATGTGAAACTAGCGTTCCGTTAGTTCCGGTGTTGCGTCACCTTCCCGCCGCTGTTGATAAAACAACGTGATCTAAAAATCACTTAATATTCGGGCCCTAACTCCTAAATATAAGAAATTCGCGCTTTCAGTTCAGTTTAACAGTGCATTTTACAATATAAACCATACAATATAAGTAATTTGTTTATTAAGTACTCGCGGATCCTGAGAAGCTCAGTATTCGTGCAGTGACGAGGGGCGTTGCTGAACAGAAAGCCACTGTGTCGGTGCGTGACAGCACAAAGTAACAAGCCACCAAGAACTTCCAGAGGTACTTCGTAAATACTCACGTATGTACTCTGTAAGTACCCCGTAAGCGGCCTCTATGTGCCCTGGAAGGTTTCCTCTTGGTACTCGGTAGTAATGCATACTATGCCTGCAAGTTACCAGGGTTATTCCCCCTTAAGTACCTTGTAAGTATTCTGCCATTACCCTGTATGTCCCCTTTCAGATACCTTGTAAGTACATGTACGTACCCCGAAAGTACCCTGAAAGTACAGCCTGCATGTATTTTTTCCCATTTACCTTTTATTTATACAGGTAGTATTGAGCCACGAGAACTCATTTTCAAGAGAGACCTGTTTTAGGGAGCAGATGGGGGTTAAGGGCCTTGCTCATGGGTCCAGGGTGGGGCAAATGAGGGTGGGGGCAGGTGTGGGTGCTTCACCTACCCCACCCACATTTCTGATGTTGTCAGTACTGGGGCGTGAACCGGATATTCCAATCACAGGCCCATCTTCTCTAGCCTCTGCCACCACTCCCCCTATCCCCCTCAGTACCCTGTTGTTACCACATAAGTTGCTTGTATATACCCTGGTAAGTATCTTGTAAATACTCTGTCATTACCTTGTAAGTACCTTGTGTGTAACCCCACAAGTACCCTGTATAAACCTCCAGAGTACTTTATATTTACCATGTAAGGACCTTTTAATTACCATTTTTTAATTACCATTTTATCTTCACTTGTTAAAAAAAAAAAAAAAACAGAATACATTTGTAGGCATCTTTTATGATTGTCTATTGTTGTCTACTGTTGTCATCACTCTGTTAAAATTCATGTCGCAAAAAACCCGCAGCTATATAAGTGTCAGAATTTGTGTTGGGGGCAGCATAAACCTCACACTTTGGAAAACAAAGTACTGATAAGTAAATTAATAACAGTTCAAACTGTAAAACTTTCAATTTGACATCAAAATGGTGTTGGTTTAAAGTGGAAACTGCAACAATACAGACGCGACGTGGTACATAAAGAAACTGATTTATGATCTTTATCAGAAGAAAGGACAATTTAGACAACATTATGAACACTGATTGACACTTTAGCCATATGTTTTAGAAAATGTTTTCAATAAAAAAGTTCATCATCAACATTGTCAGGTGCATTTAACCACATACTTTAAAATAAAAGTCACTTAAATTATGGATTAAATTGAAAATGACTGAACATCGCCCTCTACAGGCCAAGTGCACTTAAAAAACGAATTAGGACTGTACACAAACAATGTTCACATCATGTATAATAAATGTCAAATTTATTATTTGGGTATGACAAAACATTTAAAATTGCTCACATGTATACACTAAATATTTGATACAAGCAGCACTTAGTTACAAAATAAATATTGGTTTTAAAAAAATGTAAATACTAATAATCGAACCATTTTGTTTAGTCCCCAGCTAACGGAGGAGTCCAAGCTGAAAGCGGCAGAATGGCGGAGAAGAAAATCCCGTTGGTCGAGCTCAAACAAGAAGCTGATGTGAGCAACAACGAGGGAACGAGTGTCGACGTGTCCGTAAACACTCCGGTTAAAAGGAAACGAGGAAGGCCAAAAAGCTCTAAGAAGTCCAATGTTTGTGTTACAGCCATTCACCCGACTGCGCTGGTTTCGGCTAAGTCCAACGGCGAGTCTACGCCGCCTCCCAGAGGAAGAGGACGCCCAAGACTCTCTGACACCAAACGAACAGAGCAGCAAGAAGGAGGACGACAAAAGGCGTCTGCTACGGTTCAGAAGGCTGCCGCTGACAACTTCCTGAACGGCTGTTCAGTTAAGCGTAAAAGAGGACGGCCGAAAGGAACGATAAAGCGCAAGTTGGAAAGTTTAAAGAGTGGCAAGGAAGAAGAAGGCAGCTCTGTAACGCCTCGGAAAAGAGGCCGACCAAAAAAGTCCCTCGGTAAGGAGCCAAAGCTGGAAAAAGCTGTGAACAGCGAGAGGGATGGAAGACTCCATGAAAGACGAAATTTAGTGAAAAGAGAAAGAGGACGGCCAAGGAAGGTACAGGTGAAATGTACAGAGGAGGCATCGAGTGACGTTTCAGTAGGACGGCCTCAAAAAGAACCTGATGTCCCTGTAACAGGGAAGCAGCGTGGTCGACCACGACTGCAACCGGCCAAAAGGGGAAGACCAAGGAAATACCCTCTGCCGTCACCCGATGAGCCAAAGAAGCCAAAAGTGTGGAAGCCGCTGGGAAGGCCGAGGAAATATCCTCGTGCTGAAACTCCGGAGAAGGCTGCACCGGCCCCTCGAAGAAGCCGCGGTCGGCCCTGCAAGTCCGAGTCAAAGAAAGGCGCTCACTTGCGCAGGAAGGCCCCGTCTGCTTTATCCACGCCACGCGCCGGTCCGCCTCAGAGGAAAAGGGGCCGTCCAGCGGCTACTGCAAAAGGTGAAAGCGATGTCCCGCGGAAAAGGGGCCGCCCCAAAGGCTCGGTGAACAAAAACAAAGCAAGAAGTGAAACGCATCTTAACAGCGTGCGCCCAAATCACTCGAAGGCAGAGAGCGAGTTGCCTGCTGCCGGGGTGGAGAGGGAAGCCGAGGCGCAGCTCGATACGGAGATGAGTCCCGTCTGACCTGGAAGGAAGTCCTCGTTCAGGACGTGAAACTAGTGAGCAGGCTTGACAGATGATCCAGTCTGACCAAAACAGTTAATGAAGTTTTTATCTGTTGAAGCATAGCATACATCGTCACCAATGAAACCACGTTTTTATCATTTTATTAGTTTGCTAGACTAGACATGTAGCATATCGCTTCTTTTTTATTCCGACTAACCTGCTCAGTTTGTTTTTATTGTGAATGTTTTACCTCTGACCCTCTCACCAGAGTGAGCAGGATAATATTTTACTAGATCTGAGGCGGTATTCCATAAACAAGCTCCAACAGACTCATAGAGTTTATTCTTCAACTCGGAGTTAACTTTCCCTGATAGGATAAACGGAATTTTTCGGTTCTAGAAAGACCGGTTACGTTGAGATTAAATAACAGCGAGCATCTTGACCTTGAACTATCATTAATAGAACTTATTCTGACTCAGTTTATTCTAGGGATGCGCGATACTGGATTTTTTGGCCAATATGGTAAAACTTTTTGGCCAATACCCGATTTTATTATTATTTTCCTAGATCTGCTTACAGAGACTACATAGCTTTCTCTGCGGTGGAATTAAAATACTACATTATTCCGAACAGCGCCTTTTATATCTTTGAGTTATTTTGATGGAATGGCCGATGTCTGATATTTAACTTTATCGCTAATATCGGCCGATACCATGCCGATAATATCGTGCATCCCTAGTTTATTCTTTAAATAATACAATATTTTACAATCTTAGGTGCTACATTTTACTTCCCTGCCTGCCTCTGGACAGATGTTTTATATCTATGATTTTTTTAAAATTATATAATAACCACTAATGGAATTATTCAGTTATCGCTGTCAGAGTTCTACAGGCACCATCTCATTAGGACCATTAAAACCAGAAAGAAATTCCATCACTTCTCTTTCTGAAACCAAAACATTAGAAGAGTTTCACTCAGTTCTGGGTCAAGTAGCTCACGTTTTCATTCACCCTGCTTTCTGGAGTAACTCCAGCACGTGGAAGCAGCGCCTGATTGTTTTCAGATTTCTGACGTAGCGCTGCGAGTTCAGTAAAATGTTTAGTAGGAAGAGTGAAGAAAGTAAACAGAAAACCCTAAACCTTTAAGAGATGAGTCTTTAATGACTCTTCACTTTTTATTTTCTGTCCAGATTATCTTTAAAGGTCAGTGTTCCCATCACCGTTTAATGAGTTTATATGAAAAGTTTTTTAAATTTTCATCCCAAGCTCCCTTCAAGTGACTTTTATTTCCTTTTTTTTTAATTTTCTTTCTTCAGATTGTGCCAAATTTGCACTAGCTTGTGCTGAATGTGTTTGTTTTGCTCTAAAGTGCTCAAAGGTTTAAGGCGCGGTTATTCAGATTTGAGAAATTAGACTCGGCTATAATCGACCCAACGTTTATGTTTTTATGTTAATTCAAATGTGAACATTTTAGAGGATACATACTCTAAATGGTGCCCGAGCCTTTCTTTCTGAATCAAACGTTTGCCTTTTATTTAATTTTATGTGTAGTTTAAAAATCCCATCTAAACATAATTTTCACTTATTTGCCCTATTGTCAAAGCTTTGAATGTGTTATTGATCATTTGGACTGTTCGTTAAACACATTCCTGAACGGGACTCAACTTTCCAAATCGATTTCCCTGTAGTTTCCTCCATCGTGCGCTCGTTTGTTGTAATTTCAAGAATTCTTTTAGTGCAGCTGTAATGTTTTATCATTTACGTGGACTCATTTCTATTAAGCACCTTGTACAGTGTGATGACTTGTGTACCATTACTAACAATTTTTGTAATTAAAAGCAAGGATTAAAGTTTCCAAATTAATGTCATTTGACCTGGCTTTGTGAAGTCAAATCATTTTAAATAGGCATATGCGTTTTTGTGCGTTTTGAACAAGAGGGCAAAAGTTAGTGAGTGCAGCTGAATTGAAATAAAGTGTTGCCATTTTAATAACTTTTTTCTGTGTGAAGTTTTATTTCCTGCTCCTGGTTGTTCTTTATTCTAATAATCATCCCCGATCAGTTTTGACAGTTCATGCGACCAGCAGGAACGTCACTATTTACTTTGTCGTTAGCTCCACCCTCACCTGTCCTGTTTGTGACATCACTGATGCACCTGACTCTGTCCTGGATCGAAGGTTGTGTGTTTTTACTGATGGCTCACTCCAACCACTTTTAACTGAAACGATCTAAAGCTAAAGTTTGAGTACCTACGGTAGCCTATACTGAACATATTTCATGAGCCAATGCGTTTTATTTCTTTTGTGTAATTACAAGAGAATTTCTGTTAGTAATATATTACACTCGGAGGAGCGAATAAATACACATTATACACGCTCAAACTTTAAACATGCCGCTGTGGCAATATGGCGGCAGAGGACGGTTGACTGGACTACAACAACGTCATCACGTGAGTTTTGACGTCGGGACGTAAAGCGGAGTGAGACCTCTTCGCTGTTAGCATGTCAAAGACTGGTTCATGAGAACTTTCACCTGACAGGTAGTTGAAAACGTCACTTCGGAGGCAAACGACTAAACTAGCTGCCCAAACACACAATTCTACGATGTTTCCGGTGATGTGGCGCAAGTTAAACCTGGTATGTTAACCGTTTAGGCTCAAAAGTGCTTTTTCACCTCAGTCTTAGTTTTAATTTGAAAGTCGGAGTTGTTGAACAAGTTTAGCTTCGCGACCCAAACTGGTACATTCCGTCTGAGAAAGGCCTCAGCAGTTCCTCTTGAAACTAAACAAAAGAAAGAAAAAAAGCTTTTAAACCGAGTTCCTCACAACAAATTGGTCAGATAAAGATATTAAATATAAAATCTTTACATTTTGGACTCTGTATGGCTCAGTAAAGTGTGAAAAATAAACTAAAAATAGTTTATATTCAGAACCTTTTATGAATAATGTATAGTAAATGTCATTTTAAACTGCTTTTCTACCAAATAAGTCTTTTTTTTTTAACTAGAGCTTGTAATGAACTTTTAATTTGTATTTTGACACCACTTGAGTGTCATAGTTAATTGATATTGAAGTTAATTATTAATTTTCACTGTACAATAAAGTATTTTTCGTTTGAGTATATGATTTAAAGCACTTTAAAGTACTGAAATAAGCAATCCTCATGAATAATTTCAGTATATTCACAAAGTTTGTTATACAATCCCTGTATTTTTTCATCTTTAAAGACTTACTTGTTATTAGTTATAGACATTTATATGAATAACATTTCCCTGTTGCTCCAATTAAAATGTTAAAAAATCAAATATAATTTCTGTAGGTCAAACACACCCATGGTAAACTGTGAACTTTGATGTGTGTGTTGTTGTTTTTTTAGGTAATATGTTTCTCCTCTTTACAGGAAGATTAAATTTTGTCTCCAAACATGGTTTTGGACAGCAAGTTTCTCACAGTGAAGTTCTGAGTGGTGCACGCAGGCTTCGACTGAAAATAAAGACCTTCAAGTATGTCTGACCAAGGCGCCGTAGTCTTACCTTTAAATGAGGAGGTGGCGCTTTTACCTGCCGGTCAAACTGCACAGCCACAAACGGTAGAAATGATGAAGCCACATGGCAGCAGCAGTGAAGAGGAGGGAAGCGAGAGTGCAGATGAGGAGGAGGAAGAGGAGGAAGTGAGGTCTGCTCACCTGGAGCCAAGCACGTTACCTTGGCCGGGAGACAAAGACAAGAAGCTCCTGTTGGAGGACGAGGATGCTTCAGGGTCCGAGGAGAGGGACACGGGGATCAGCAGGGGGAGCCAGGACCTGTCGGAGGAGCGGAGTCAGGCAGAGGGAGACGCGAGGAGCAAATCCAAATGGAGGGAGAGCATGCCTGAAGTTGAGAGGTGGAGAGATGATGTACAGAGGAAGGATAAAGGAGATGGCTCACTCGCAGATGACGAGGAGGAGGAGGATAAGGAGTGGATCTCGGAGAAACATTCTCTGGGTTTCACTCCACATGTGGAGATTTTGTGTCCAACTAGCAAGGAGCCTGTTGATGGGAGCCGGTACTTAAGGGAGGAGATGCAGAGGGAGGTGCTGATGGAGCACAACTCTGCACAGTTTCACCCCGAGTGGGACGAACAGGACGACAAGTACTGTGAGTTTCCGCCACAAAGTGGACCCATACTTATAAAGATTAGGACGAGTTTGTCACATTCATTCTAGCAGAGAGCTGGTTTAGAAATGATATTTTAAAGAAAGATGTCTGCATTTTTACACAGTCTATAAGTTTGCAAACATCTTATTTTGATTTTTATCGTTACGGATGGTAAATATTAACATGAAGTCCACTACAATAAAGTATTAAATAGAAATATATCAAATAAAATGTATTTAAAAATATATATTTAGGCAAAAGTTGATACTACAAAAGATCATTTTTATTAATATTTACATTTTTAGACATAAAACAGCCAAAAAAATATCAGTCAAATGTGTTTGAAGCTCACAGAAACCAACAAAATAGAATTCTTGTCGTGTTTCAACACGTCAAGAGTTTAATTTGTTTAAAGACATAAAGTGCATCCATTTAACAGCAAAACCTTTTCAACCCTGTTCACAAGTGGCTTGAAATTAGTGGAACAATTACTCATTTTAAAATCAAAACCGCTCTTTTTGTTGCATTTTCTAAACCATTCAAAAGTGTTTGAATTATTTACCACCAGGAGACCGCCATAAATATTTTGTAATTGGCTAATTGTTGCCATTCAATCAGATTGCTGTAATTTTGTATAACTAACAGCTGTTTTGTTGAGTAATTTGGATCATAAATGTTTTTTTTATTTCCATAATTTTCCTCTTTACTCTGCTTTAAATTAGAGGCACCAACTGTTTATTTTGAGGAGCTCAGATACTGGAGCAGCTCCAGGGTAATAAACATCTTTGCTACAAGCACAGCAGAGACTTGCACACATTTTGATTTATAAAATTCAGCAACTTACAAAAAAAAAAAAGTGCAAACAGCCCACGTCTAAAATGTTAACATCAGTACCAAGTATCCAAATATCAGATAAAAGTGTCCACCTCAGTTTGCTGCAGATTTCTTAGTTTTGATTTGACTCCAGGTTCATCGTCGTCCTCTTTCCTTTCCTTTTTTAATAAAAATTGTTCTGAAAGTTACATTTCTACACTTTCCTGAAGCTCGGTGGATGTTTGCTCTTCCTCAGACCTGTGTGCTGACGAGAACTTTTGCTGTGAGAAGTTGAGGCTGTTTTTATCGACATTAGCTGCAGGGCTCCTCTTCCCTCTCCTGGTGTGGGGGGGCTACGCCCTGCTTCCGTTTGAGGCGCCGCAGCTGGGGAACCCCTCCCTCAGGGTGCTGTACACGCTGCGCTGCTCCTTCTTTGCCACTGTCCCCATCATGCTCGGTAAGGCCTCGGCGTTCCTCGTGCGTTTGGTTTTCCTCCCGCTGAAGGATGTGTGTGATGAAGGTGCTCTCTCCGTCCTCAGGTGTGCTGGTGCAGGGCGTGGCCCGGCTGCGTTTTAGCGCCCTGAAGCCCCTCTATCAGAGGAAGCTGGTGAACAAGGAAGTGATGGTTCACTGGCACTACGTCAATGAATCGATGCCGCTCTTTCTCTTCTACTTCCTGCAGCTTGCTGTCATGGCAACCTACATCAGCCAGGACCTGGTTAAACTGGTGCCCCTGCTCACCATCATATTCGTTTTTGGCAGGTATGTGGTGAATAATTAAAATTTTTAAGGTTTACAGTTGCAGCGGCAAACTGTTATAGAAGAAATTAACGCTTAAATGCTATATTTGTATAACATTTATAAATGAGTCAGTGCAAACCATAACATTACTGGTACGTTCTGCATAAATGTTATGAACAATAAATGTCTTACCTGTTAAGTCCCCTTTAAAAAAAAAAAAAACCTACAGGACTTGTGTAATTTTGGACGTTCCGTTTCCTGTCTGGGGAGCTTTCTCAGTCCAGAACTGGAGGGTGTGGACTAGTACCAAGCCTTTAAACCAAATGATAAGCTCAGTCATGTAGCCTGACTCAAAATGCTGGAGGATCTGAGAGTCTCAGAAAGATTTTCTCCAAACACAACACCCTGGTGCATTTCAAACAGGACTCGGAGAGAGGCTGGTCCATCCTAAGGACAAAACCCAAACTGAGCGGTGTGGTGTCTGCAGTTCAGTGCAGCGAGAAGCTAAACCACAGACTCGTGGATCAACACCGGAGAGCAGCTCTTCAGGACAACTCGGCGGTCCACCTATACCTCAACAATAAGACACTCTGCTGAGAACCAAGCTGTTCATGTTTTAGACTGAGGAGACGGATGGTAAAGAAAACCATTTCTGTCAAACGAGAAAAACCAGCTTTAAACAGCAGAGGTCTCAGATTTCAACTGTTAAAAACCTACAGTGCAGCTGATTCACAGGCAGTTTCACCCTAATTCATGCATGTGACCAAAACATCTTGTGAGCCAGGTAAACAAAAACCCTGACGACTCTGTTCATTGTGAGAGACATGTAGTGCAGGGGTTCCCAACCCTGGTCCTTGAGGAACACCATCCTGCACATTTTAGTTGTTTCTTTGCTCCGACGCACCTGATTTTAATTAATGGGTAATTAACGGGCTTCTGCAGAACTTGAGAACGTAATTAAATCACTGAATCAGGTGTGTTGGAGCAAGGGAACACATGCAGGATGGTGTTCCTCAAGGACCAGTGTTGGGAACCACTGACATTGTAATCTGATCTGCAGTGAATCTAGGTTACATGACTTGTTTTTCAAACTGTTTTTAGAAGCTTTGAGGTCCTCACTTTCCAGTTTTGAACAGAGAAAACTTCTCATCTGGGAGGCGAAACATCTTCAGCTACACCATAGAAGTCCAGTACCTATTCTTCGGACTATAAGGTGCACTTAAAATCCTTAAATTTTCTCAAAAATGGACAGTGAGCCTTATAATCAGGTGCGCCTCATGTATTAATTCTGGTTGTGCTTACTAATCTCGAACTGATTTTATGTGGTTATTGTGAATGAGTTGAATAAAGTTTGACTTATCTGTTTTGTTTAGCTTAATGTGCCTTATAGTCTGTAAAATATGGTAGTTTTTTAATTTTTCCTTTGGCGCGGGGGGAGGGGTGTTGTCGTAACCATGTCCTGGATGACTGAGCATCTATACCAGCATCTTACCTGTTGTAGATGACTCGTTGTAGAACTTCAATTTGGAGAAACACTGGACTTCTGGTTGGATTGACGAGCTAACAGCTAGTTGGAGCGCGGCTGAGATCTCTGAATTATTGCTGTCTTACAAACAGCTTTAGTCTCTAAAGAGCCCGGTGGTGCACTTGAATGTTTATCATTAACTAAAGGACTAACATTCCTTCTCAAAATGCATATCACCCGTTCATGGAAGAGTTTTGAACAGAGATCATTTTATGCTTTTATGACTAAAGTGATTATTTGGTTGTTGAAAGTAGAGTCACAACCATCAGATTTAAAAATGCAAAAAAAAACCCAAATAATTAAAATGTCTATTCACTAAAAAGCTGAAAAAATTGCGCATATTCAAATGACGAAATAATCACTGCTAAAAAAAAAAAAAAACTTTAACTTGGGGCTGCTCTTTGACTCCCGTAAATAAAAATGAACAGAACTTCCTTATTAGCCCAACAAATCAATCTGCTCCTCATACAGGTTTGTTTGTTCCAGGGCGTTCATGTGGCGTTTACTTGCCCTCAGAAAAATGAGTCAGCACTTCAAAATGTCAGCCCACACACTTCCAATTAATAAAACTTCTCTCCAAAGTCTCAACTCTGTGATTTTAGTTGCCAGGGAAAGTTTTTGGTCTTTCACAGACTAACCCTGAAACCTGCAAACATGACCCGGCACGACGAGAACAGTCGAGCCACAAGTGATCCAAACAAGTCTGCCACATGATCCGAATCTCTTCAGTAAAGGTTTAACCCTCTATTTGATGTACCGGTTGTGATCTGTAGTCGTTTAAAGTTGTACCGGTCCACTTTTCTTGTTTCTTACATATACACTGCACAATATGCTCTCCTGGACAAGGACTGGACAGGGAATGTGTGAATAAGCAGCAGATGTAAAAAAAAAAAATAAAATCTTTGGATCTTAATAAAAGCCTGAAAAGATAAAAAAAAATCTTATTGGAAGCAGAATCTGAAGAAATTAGATTGGCTTAAAACATTTGCACAGTACTTTTATCATTATAGTTCTGTGAAACCAGGTCACCTGAGATATCCTGGGTTTGTTTAACCTGCATCAGGAGTTCTGGTCATATCTTAATCCAGCAGATTAAACGGAGTCTCCTCAGATTCTCGTTGATCTTGTTTCCTTCTCTGCAGGCTCATCTACTGGCTCTGCCTCGCTCTGGACAGCACCGTCAGAGGCTTCGGCTTCGGCCTCTCCTTCTTCCCCATACTCGTCATGTTGGGCGTCAACTTCTACTACGTGTGCTCCTCGGTCGGACAGGGCTCCATTTTCGACGCGGGCCCCCCCGCGACAGACCCTCCTCCCCAGCTGCGCTGGTGGTTTTAAAAAGGAAAGTGGAGGCGCAACACGGTGGAGATGGTGAGGAGCTGCCAGACAGCACAACACACTCAGGCATTGTTTGTTCATTTTTGTAGCTTTTTTAAGAACGTAATCCCGAAGGGTTCTGGCCTAATTAAAGATGGTTGCCGCGGTAACGGCTTGCACAGTTCAGCTGTTGGTTTAAGATGTTTATCTGTTTACATCGCTGCAAAACAAACTCGGGTTTTCCATCTAAACTGAAACCAACAATATTGATAATTGCAAACACTAGGATTATTTGGTGTGGATTTTATTTTATTTTTTTCATTTAAATATAATCCATCACTTCCTTACTGTCTTATTTCATCAAAATCTTAAGGATATAATATTAATTATTATATTGATCCTTGTTTACTAAGAAAATGTTGATGTTTTCACATCTTATAGTTTTAAGTTTACAGTGAAATAGCTCATGTACATGTGGAGCTTGAACTGCAGAAATCTGCTTTAAAGAGTTTTTGTCCCACAAATATTGTTTTCATATTTTGCCAATAAACACATAAAAGCGAACAAATAAATTTTGTTTTGATTTGTTTTCGTTTGACGCTGTGTGGAAGTGACGCCGTGAAATCTGGTTTAAAAGAAAACGTTCAGATAAAAGCACAAAATTCAATCAAACCGCTAATATTGATTGTGTTCGTTTGTTTTTTATTTGGGAAAACTGAAATTTTAAAAATGCAAACAAATATATCTCACTGCCTAAAAACCACTTTCATTAATATCGGTTTTACACAATTAAATTTACTTTCTGATTCAACATTACACCTTAAAGATATTTTTAAACTATTTATCAATCTGAAAAACACGTTTGACAGATTAAATATAAAAACTGGACGTTCCTACATTTATTAATACTTTTTTTCTGAATTAAAAAAAATAAAAACGCATAATATTTAAGGGGTTTATTAATCTCAGCTGTTACAAGTAAAAAATTTCAACTCAAGTGACTTGTTAAATCTTAAATTGTTTAATTGATCAAAGTCTTCTTTGTGTTGTTGATGGAGAATCCCTTTATTCTGTAGAGGTAAAGCACGTGATCAATATTTGTGATCAATACACTTCAAATCTGAAGAACGCTGTCAGGCGTGAAGAGCGACTCGAGTAAAGAAGCAAACACCTGAAGGGGGTTGACAAACAAATGTTGCTTCAAAAAGATTTATACAAATTTAACTTTTTCACTTCTCTTAACTCATTTGTTTCTGCCAGTAACTAAAAAAAAAGGAAAATGTGAAATAATCATTCTATAATAAATTGTTCCTACATTAATTGTATTAAATTAAACTGTTTCCTTCAGTTTTAAATTCAGTATTTTATCGTTTCTTTATACCCGGAGTGTTCACCTTTTAACTACTCACCACCTTTAAAAAGCCTTAACCTATTTTTCGGGCTAAGTAACATTTAAAATCCTTGAATTCTCTCAAAAATCGACCGTGAGCCTTATAATTCTGGTCGTGCTTACTGACCTCGAAGTGATTTTATGTGGTGCATGGCACTCAAATCTGTCAAAATGAACTTATTTCACTTAATGCGCTTTATAATCCAAAAAATATGTTTTATAATTCGACGCTGCGGCGGCGTAACGATCGAACAACTTGTTTTTGTCGACTTGAGCAAAAAGTCTCACTTAGCTTGAATCTTTTATGAGTTTATGCTACGTAGCTGAAAGTTCGGAGTCGGGTTATTGGTCAACATTTCTACAAATCAGTGTACCCCTCCAATTACTTACAAACCATTTTAATGTAGACTTGAAATGCTGCAAAAGTAACTTTTACTGAGAGTTCACACGAATTTAGCATAAAAAGGATGGAAGCAGCTGGGAAGGAGAGAAATAATAAAACATTATATTTTATTATTTAGATAGTATTCTATGAGTGTGTTGGTTTTTGTTTTCATTGAGTGCGTCCACATCTTTCAAGAATGGCCTCGACCTGAAAAGGAATTCCTTTAAACTTTACTAAAATAAATATAAAACAATAATAAAGAGAGTCAACCTAAACTCTGCTGTATCTGCAGGTTTCCCTCTAATCTCACCGTCAACATTCTTAACTAGTGCAAGAATTATCCCGAAAACAGGTTTGAATAAACGTTCAGTTAGCTCTGATTGGAAAAAGATACTTCATAAACCAGTTTGTAGACTGGTTGTGTTTTAGAAAACAGCAACTAGAAAAAAACAACTGATGGATTCTAGTAATTAAATGTCATTTTTATATTCCCATCCATTCCTTGTCCGCTTATCTAGAAAAACCAAACTGCACATCTGGACCTCTCATGGGTCAAGGATGATCCCTAATGCCAAGGTCAAAGGTCAAAGGTCATAGATGGACCCCACACATTGAAACCTTATCTATGCTTCTGTTTGACATCCATGAAACAGAAACGTCAAACCCTTCGTGCACCCAGAAGAGATTTATTCCACCAAGTACATGTGAAGTCTACTGAAGAGGTTTGGAAGTTCTTCAGATTTCATGTTCCTACGAGTTCTTTAACGGAACCGTCTGTTGATTTACACCACAGACAAGGCCATTATCAGTGAAACTGACCTTTCACCCCGACACAGTCGTGTATTTACTTAACAGACGTGTGTGAGGGAATTCATGATCAATAGTTTCCAGACGGGCGCAACATTTGTAACTTCTACTGTATTCGTATTACTTTTCAATCAAAGTACCAGTAGTAATTTGAAATTCTTGAACTTATTTTAACATTTCTACTCAAACCTGACTCCTGCCTGGCATAGATCAGATTACTTGTAATTATTTAGTAAATACAAAAATGCTCGGTTCTACGCTCGATGGAAAACGGTTTATTCGGGTGTTTGAAGTCTGATTTAGCCCGAACAGCATTTTTAAATTCATTTTTTCAATCTTTAAATGTTCTCCAACCAACTCTTTGTCGGTGAAAAGATTTAACTACATTCTAAATAAACCAAAAGAAGAAAAAACAATTTTTTAAGGACCACATATCCAGCTTTTAAGATTAGCAAAATATCTATCCCATGAAAAATGGACTGCATAAGAAGCAGAACTCTATAGATATTTTTTATATCCCTGCTAAAGTTTAAATAAAGATTTAAAGCAGGGCCTTGTATTTGGACCTCTTGGACTTTTCCACATTTTGTTATGTTACGGCCACAATACGGTGATTTTATGTGACGGATCGACACAAAGAAAGGAATAATTATTAGGTTTTCAAACATTTTTACAAATTAAAACCTAAAAGTGAGGAGTGCGTTGGTTTTCAGCTCAAACACCTCCACCTAAAACAACCAGCCGTCAACGCCTCAAAAGTTTGTTACAGAACACCACTGACCAAACAGCATCATGAAGCTCAAGGAACACGCCAAACTGCTGGGGAATAAAGTGGCTGAAACGTTTAAAGCAGGATTAGGTTATAAAAACAAAATCCCAAGCTATGAACATCTCATGGAGCTCCGTTCAATCAATCATCTGAAAAAAGCCTCTGGAACAACTTCAAACTTACCAAGACATGACCGTGCACATAAACCGACAGGAGAACGTTAATCTGAGAGGCAGCCAAGAAGCCCAGGATAACTCTGGAGGAGCTGCTGAGATCCACAGGACAGGTGGGACAATCTGTCCACAGAACAACCATTAGTCCACAGATCTGGACTTTAAGGAGGAGCGACAGGAAGTCTCTGTTGAAAGAAAGCCATAAAATGATTACCGTGTTTTTCGCTGTATAAGTCAGGTTTTTTGCATTAATTAGCATGCCTGCGACTTATACAGCGAAGCGACGTATTTATATATATTTTTCCCATTTTTATAACCCAATTTCTGTCTGAGATCTGATTATTTCATTCATTCTGACATGGAAAATATTGAACACTACCATTTTCAGCCACTAGAGGGCCCTCGACTAATATGGCAAGCCAAGTGTCTCATTAATAGGTAAAAGTGACTATTAATGAGACACTTGGCTTGCCAAACAAAGCCACCTTCGTCTCGCTCCAGAACTCCTGCAGCAAACGTCAAATCGTCTGCATTTCTCCGCGCCGCCCAGGTGAAATGCAGCGGATTTGACCATTAAAGTGCATTTATTTAGAAAAAGTTAAACTGAGACACGCCTTTGCTATAATTTCAAGCAAACAATTATTTTTAAGTGTTAATCTTGTTAAATTCTTGTTGGGGTCCTCCCGTGCACGCTCCTGCGGCCGCAATTTGGCAGCCAATCAATTTTTGGCACAACACCGGCCCACATTTCTGGGTTGTCAGCGGTGACACATAATAGATGCAACTTATACGACGAAGCAACATATTTGTTTTTTTCCACTTTATTAGACATATTTGGACTGATGTGACTTATACAGCGGTGCGACGTGTACAGCGGCAATTACAATACTGCACACCACCCTGAACGTATCACTGCAACACAGAGGTGGCAGCATCATGTTGAGGGGATGCTTTTCTGCAGGGACAGGAAGATGGTCAGTTGAGATGAAATGAGCTAAAAACAGAATAATCCTGGAAAAATACAAACCTCTTGATGCTACAAAAGGCGGAGGTTCCGCTTCCAGCAAGACGACCCGAAACATCCAGCCAGAGCTACAGTCCAACAGTTTACATCAAAGCAGGCTCATGTTAGAACGGCCCAAAGTCCAGATGTTGAGCAAACTGAGAATCAGTGACGACATGAAAATACCTGTTCAGACCCTCTCTGTCCAATATGAGAGATGGAGCTTCTTTGCAAAGAAAAGTGAGCATAACTTTTAGTTTCTGGATGTGCGGCACAATGTCTTAGTGGTTTGCACTGTTGCCTCACAGCAAGAAGGTCCTAAGTTCAATCCCCAGTTTGGACCTAGGGTCTTTCTGTGTGGAGTTTGCATGTTCTCATGGGTTTCCTCCCACAGTCCAGTACATGCATGTTAGGCTGCCTCCTTTGCAAAAATAATAAAAGTCTGATCAAAATTGGCTTTGCCTTGTTAAATAAAGGTAAATAAATAATAAAAGCTGAAATTGGAAGTAAAACGTGATTCTACACAGTAAAGACTCTAGGCTGATTATTACAAATTAACTCCACACCTTTAAAATAAAAAGAACATTTAAAACCACATTTTCCTTCCACTTCACAAATATGTGCCTCTTTGGTAAATTCCCAGTAAACTACTTTTAGGTTGCACAATATCTATTTATGGTAACAAGATATTCTTTTTTTTCCAGAGACAAAAAAGGGTCATAACGAGTGATCAGCTAAATTTAGCAGTTGTCGCCAAAGCTACAAAACGAAGCGTCATCACACGTCGTCGCCGTGACGACGAGCTGAAGACGAAGGCAGCGGCAGCCGCTTTCAGCGACTGTTACCGCGAGCAGACAACAAACCACAGAGCCGCCTCAGGTTCACTCAGTTTGTCTATTTAATATATAAAATACGGTAAAACATACGCAAAAAGGATAAGGTTTCAAGGGACTTGGATACTTTGGTACAACAAACACTTTGTTTTGTAAAAGCGGTATAGAATTTTAATAACATATCAGTGCATACTTTGTATATGAAAATATACACAAATTGTATATCATTCTCAAAACAAACAAAAGAAAAACAACAAAAAGAAATATTTTCTTTACAATAAAACCCAAAGCAGACCAGCTCGACACAATATATTAGCTATAAATTTCATCTTTAGTATTTCATATGCTACATTATTCTGAGCTGTTTCAGACTCATTTGTGATGCATGTCCTTACCATTACTGTACGCAACATAAGCTTAGTTGTTACCTGTGTCCCATGCATTGACTTTTTTTATTTCATGATTTACCAATTTCCATTGTTTCCCCATTTTTTAAAATTTTTTATAAATATATTCTATGACTTAATTAAAACTGCAGCATTTAACTGGTATTTCCTTCATTGCATTTGCTAATACCACAATAACTGATCGTGCAATTTTCAGCAAGTTGTCTCAACAAAAAGGAAACCAGTACTATATGTTTATGATACGGAAGATAAAGAAGAAAATAACAAAACAAGTTGGCCATACTCCACAAAAAAACAGCAATAAAATGAAAGCTCCAGAGTAATATCATCATAATAACAGACATCAGAAACTGTCACCAGCACAAATTAATCCAAAAATAGTGAGATCCTAAAAACATCGTCTACAACGCGTAACAGGGGTGCAGGTTTTCTCGTGTTGCTCATATAGATTGTCTCGTGACTGCACTGTAAGACTGGACAGAGAACCTTTGTGTACATCGACTCATATTTCAGCCCAACCCTCAGCGCCCACAAAAAAAGATGAAAATGAAGGGAAACATCACGGATTATCATCATCATCATCGGTTCCTTGCTCACGACCAGCACCTCTGAAGCTACTTCAGCTCTACTGCCTGAAACCATCATGGTTAATGTTGTAAGCAGTCCTCTGTAGGGGTTAACCTAGCCCACCTTTCCACACGTTTGGGTCTTACTGGTGTAAAAATAAATTTTCTTACGTGTTCTTTTGGCCGCACAGACCAAACGGAGGCGCGTCGGTGTCGTGTTGTGTGGTTACAACCATCAAGCTGACGTCACAGACTGAGCTGGGTGACAAGGGCGTCTTAGATTAAAGCAACGTTCACAAACATTTCTGTTTTCAACCCACAAAAAAAAAAAGAGTCGGAGACTTAACGACCTTCATTATAACGCTGAAATAAATAAGTCATTTAACAAAGAGCACAATGGAACATGCGTTTTTGATCATTACCGTTATTCCTTTGTAACATGTAAAGCTAATCATGATGTTGGTAATTGTTTCTAAGGACCGCAAGTGGGATTTCAAATTCTCAACCCCAGCTTTGGGAACCGCTGAGTGAAAGTGCTGCTCTACTTTGTCCTTCAGATAGAAACATCTTTTGACTCTGTTCATGATCGGCCTCATTTCACCTAAACTCAATCCTATTTGAGAAACCGGTCCAGGATGTAACCTGGGGAGATGAAAGCGGGAAAGAAAATGAATGGATTAAAACCATTTTCAGTAAATGTTGGTCCTTCGATGTCAAACATGGACCAAACGATCAACGTTTTTGTTGATGTTCTGCTTCAACACACCTGATTTGAATCAGTGGGTGATTAACTGGCCTCTGTACAACATGAACCACTGGATCCAGTGAGATGGAGCAGGGAAACAAGTAAAACACGCAGGACAGAGGCCTTCGAGGACCAGGACTGGACACGTCTGAACTAAATGAAAAGGAAGTTGGTCTGGTGATGGAAACTGTTCTGCTGTCTTTAGTTAAGAGAAACAAAGCTGCTAAAATGTTGAATAACGTGACCAACGCTGCATAACCTCAGCAACAATCTCCAGTCGACCAGTATTCAGTTTTTTTAATTCGTGATCGGGTTTTCCTTCCTTTGAACTGGTATTCTTCCTCTCGTACTATTTGTAAAAGTTAACAGCTTCACAGGTGCTGGTACCATCTCTAGACGGATCAGAACGAGTGACCTACAGCAAATTTATCCAGTTGACGTCTGAAGATTTAAGTTGACGCCTCAAAAACAAGTAAAATACCAGAACCACCTTTAACTCTCCATCAGAACGTTGAGATATTTCTTCCAGTATGCGCAGGTGTCGTTTGCCACAGCTGACTGAAAGAAGACTGCACTAATCTGAACTTAGATCTTGATCAACGCTGCGGTAAAATGTCGCCCAGAAGTCCCCCAGCTCGAGGTTGTTTCCGGACACTCGCCACAAACTCGCATCGTCGCGAGCTGCGACTGAATGCATCAAAATGCGTCTGTTTATCAAACAGCTCCCCACAAATAATCGTCATAATTGTCTCAAACGAAAAATAAGCAAATGAGAGAAACGTTCCTAATAAATAACCTGGATTCACACATCGACTTGAAATGTTTCAGACAGAAACAAAACTGGAACCGATCTACCGACTTATCGTGAAATACAATTTGTGTTCGCTTAATGTGGGAACGATTTTACGTGATACGCTCAGTTTAAAGTGTTAAATCTATTACTACACTAAGTGAATGGCAGTGGCCTAATAATATCAATAATAACAGTAATAATAATGAGTTTACATCACCGTGTACAATTTACCTTTAAGTGTGGGGTTTTCTTTTTAATGTGTGGAAAGAGAATATGATGACACCACGACCAAGCGGGCCTCTGTGAGTGTAACAAAGTGCGCACACCATCAACACTAGAATAAAATAGGATTACTGAAACTAGTCCGATCCACCGGCATTCGAGTGTGGCGCTCAGCCCTGCACCGTAGCTCGAAACATTATCAAAGTCACACTCGTATATGCAAACAGATCCACTGAGAATCAACACATTGCTTGTTTTTTTTGTTTTTTTTAGGGATACCTAGCAAAGTCTATGCAAATATATTCATATGTACATACACGTCGTTTGAAGCCGAAAAGCTAGTTTAACTTTGTCGCCAACTTGAAGCGGTAGAAATATAGAAAACGTCTTTTCCTTTCACTTTTCGAAACACGGCAAAGAGCTAAGGATATAGAGCTAGAGAGGACATCAAAGCTTTTGTATAAGGAGTGATTTTCATACAAAGTCAGATTTCTCTACTTGTGGACAACTAACGGACCTTCAAAACAGATTTTTAAAATACCAACAGATCAAGAACACTTGGACTGAAAGAACCAAACACTAGTGAATAAAAAGCAAAAGGAGGAGAAGTGCTCCTATGTAACTAACTGGATGGCATCTACTCCTGGTGATAAACTGGGTGACCGGGTGGATTTCAACTACTTCCATTCTGGAGATGAGGAGGAGCACACAGTCCGTGAACAAAGTCTTTAAATAAATTCTAGTTTTGAGCGTTTCCATCGTGTCCCTGCACTGCGAGCGAGAGGCATTTGGCATTTTTATTTCACCATGAAGAGAAGCTGATATTGGCACTCGGGCAGGGTGCCGGGCTCCACCTGAGTCTGCCTCGTTGCATGAAGTTTGTGACCGCGGCAGCACCGTTCTTACAAAACAACAAAAATAAGACGCTGTTCCGAGTCTGTTAAGTGCCAAGTAGATGCTCAGTTCTCAAACGCTTTATTTCCAGTGGTGAGGCTCGGAATAATGGACAGCACACAACAACAAAAAATAATAAAATGGCGTCAAAGAGCAGGAAGCGGCGAGTCATGCAGTGATGTCAGAGAGACGACCGGTGAGAAGCTCCGTGTAAATAAAAATTAAAAAAGTGATGCAAAAACCGTTATGAAAAATGTTTCTGTGGTTTTGTCAAAATGCAAAAGGAAAACAAAATCACACTACAGGAGTCCATTCAAGCAAGAAGGCTTCTGTCCTTCTATTTGAGGGACAAAATCCAGCGGAGCTCTAAGCTCCTCCCCCAGCTCAGAACGTCAAACCCAAATTAATCGGTTTTAATTTTGACTTTGTGTTTGTTGGGAGAGCCCTGTAAGTCTGGGTGACATGGAGAGTAAAGCGGGACAGATTTGATGATAGTGTCACATGGCAGTGGGGTGGGGACAGTGGGGGCTAACAATGAGGGGGTGTTAAAGTGTTTAAACTTTACTGCGACTGCAGTTTATGTGGCCCAGGCGTCCAACCTCATGCGTTTTATGTTTCCCCCGTCCTGATCTGGTTCGTTCGACACCCTGAGGAGCTCGGCCCTGGTGCTGCCGGCTGTGCCGCCGCCGCCTGCAACGCCGCCGTCATCCCGATCGCTGCCTTCGAAGGAGCTGGCGTTGCTGCTCACGCTGTCCGCAGGAGAGCGGCCGGTCAGCGGCTCCAAGCACAACAGGGAGCTGGGATACTGCGGCTGAGCGGTCAGGATGGAACCACCTGCTGTGGAGGACGGCGTGGAAGAAGGAGGGAGAGGAGCAGGACAGGGGGTGCTGCGGTCCCGGCCGGGTGAGACGGGCTCCGACTTGATGCTCACGCTGGAGTTCGTGTTGACGGTCAGCATGGCGCCTTGAGGTATGTTGGTCACCGGCCTGAGAACGGGACCACAGAGACGGTAAGGAGCGGGAAGCGTACGTTATTTAACAAGCTCGCTCCAAGTCCAAGACAAAACCCAACATTACAGAGCACAGCACCGACAGAGAAAAGCCACACTTGAGATTTCAAAAAACACTTTTTTGAGCCTTTTAAAAGCAGAAGTAACACCCCAACTGCTCCCAAAGGATCAACAGATCAGCCGAAGAAGCATGAAATGACTGTTGTGTGACAGGGCGGTTTGCAGTGTCAGCTATGACATGAAGAAACAAACAAACAAACGAAAGTCTCAGGTTAGAAAAACAGCAGAAACCGGAAGTACGACGCTTTCCTGTTCGTGCATGCTCAGAGGGAGGCAGCCAAAGAAGCGCACAGACACACATGAAACAGGAAGTGTGATACAGTACCGGCCCAACCACTCATCTCTACCCAAGAGCAGGTTGGACGGAGAGCCAACACTGTGGGAAGAAAACAAAACGTTGGAGCCCAGAACCAAAGGGAACAGGTGAATTAGAAGGCATGTGAGGAGAAAAGTGAAAACATTATTGCAGGCAAGACACACCCCCCCCCCCCCCCCCCCCCCCCCCACCTACAAACAGCAATAATGTTCTTTGCATCCAAAAAAACAAGTTCTGCTTAAAGCACACCAACGAAAAAATGAATAAAATCAAAGATTTGCATTTACAAAAGAGAACTGTGAGGCCCCAAAGAACAAAACCCTGAAGAGAAGTAAAAGCAAAATAAAACACACTAATGTTTATGTTCAGCTCGGTACTGTCAGCAGAAATACATGCAGAATTAGCAGCCATCGTTTTTGTATATTTTTCACTTCAGCTGCACAAAACAAGGCTAAAGATTTAAGGAACTTGTGCAGTTTGATTATTTAAAACTTATTACCTGACTAAAACAAACAAAAAAATTAAATACCTTGAACAATAACGAGTCATTTACTGAGCAAAGTCCCTTTCAGACATGAGAGAGTAGCATTTTGTTTCGATTGTGTCGAGTCGTTCGTAACATTAATATTAACGCTTCTGTGTTCGCCTCATCGCAGACGGACCTACAGTTTATACGGTAGATGCAATATTTGCCTTTTGTGTGAGACCAGATGAGTCAAGAGTCCATTTTTTTCAAAAGATTGCCTTGTATCGCTGCAACGAATTACAGAAGCGAGTCAGGGCACGTTATAGACGAACCGACGGTGAATGGAAGCAGATAGATTTGTTTTTAAATGTTTAAGCTCATTTACCAGTCGCTGTGTGAATGAGCATGATTCTTATCGATTCTAGAAAAATGTGATTTTAATTTCACCGGATTAAAGAATCCACCGGCTGCAGCTCAACTGAAAAACTACACAAGTCTTCATCTTCTCATACCAACACGTTCCTGTATCAGTAAACTGTGCTAAACAACACAGCGGGGAAGTGAGTATCTGAAAATATTTATACAATCAATCAGTGATCAGAAGCTGCAGCTCATGTTGTATTAATGAGTAAAATGATACTGCAGCTAATTACTGTAGATGAAAACATGGAGAGGAACTATTTGGACAGTGCTGCTCTTCATTCATTTATTAATACAATCATCTTGTTCTAAACAGCTGATCATATATTAAGCCATCAGCAGTTCAGATTCGTGTTGATGCGTTACGGAAATCGACACTAGTTTGATCGCAGAAATGTTACAGAAAAGCACCACGGGGGAGAAATTCAGGCGTCTCTGACATTTTCAATCTCCATCAGATTGATACAAATCAGTTCATGTCTGAAAGGTTGTCAATTGTTTAACTGCGAGGAAAATATATCTTTATTCAAAGTTTAGGTTGCTCGGATGGTAAAATACTGGGAAGTGTAATAAAACGGAGGATTAAAGTAGTAGTGTAGTTTTATTACAAGTGTGTTATTGCTTAAATAAGTTGCATCACGGGCTGAGTTTGTAAATCAAATTTAAATAAAGAAACAAAACCACTACAATAAAAAGGCATTTCATAAAAACAAAGATATCAAAGATAAAGATTTTTCCACAATGATATGAATTGTGGAAAAATTAGGAATAATCTAGGTCCATACAGTTTATTGGACTAAACTTGACTTGTGAGTCTGAGTATTTTTTAAAGCTTGGTTACGGTCTCCTGTTCTGATGGGAGACACGCTGTTGCATTAGAGCAGGGGCGTCCAATCCTGGTCCTCGAGGGCCACTATCCTGCAGGTTTAACTCGTTTCCCTGCTCCAACACACCTGAGTCAGCGACTCTCCAAGTCCTGCAGAAGCCTGATAATCACAACTTGAAATTAGCTGCGTTAGAGCAGCGAAAGCTTTAAAACATGCAGGATAGTGGCCCTCGAGGACCAGGATTGAACACTCCTGCATTCCTTTAAGTGCAAAGCAGACAAAAAGCTCCCACTTCCACTCGCAGACAAGGTCATGACATGTCACACACACTATCAGTGGCTGTTCACCTCAGATTGGCTGCCAGACTGGACACTTGGCTAGACAGCTCGCTGCTCTGTTTGTCCACGCCCCACATGCTGTGGACGAGAGGAGAGAATAAACTTCAAGGAGCTTGGCTCAACCCCTTGGAGTGATTTAGTCACACTGATATTAAAAACAAAGCCACAAATCTAAAACTGCTGTGTTCATTAATAAACCGTGGTCAGGTCAGGAGGAGGGGGAAAGTGAATGCATCTGTTCCACTTTAATAAGAACGTTCTCATCTGCAGAAAATGACCACACGCAGTTTAAATTGCATTTAAATTAGAGGAAGTTATCAAACAGTGCTGAGAGGGACTTTGATTTAAAGGGAAAGTTCATTTGGGCTGAACTAATGTGTCCCTTTGAAGAGTGGGACACAGGTGTGAACGTCAAAGGACAAATAACGTCACACAGACTTCGACTTGAGCTTCACGCTTGAACAAAGTGACAAAAATGTTTTAAAACAAGAAAAATAAGCCATTTTTAAAAAAAAATTTAGAAGCTTTCAGTGAAAATATAAGCACAGGTCCTCATTTAACTTTAGATATTAGATTTATTTATTTCAATCGGACATTTCTTTTTTTAATCCATCTGATCGCTGTCCTCATAGTTGAGCACAAACTGCTACCATGAGGTACTGGTTTTCTGGGAAGCAAACAGCTCTACCATTACAGAATGTGATCATTTTGTAGCCCTTTCTTAAGCGCAATAAAGAAACAAAAAAGGTTTTATCTGAAATGACTGTTTTTGTGGTTTTAGTGTTTATCGCCACAGGACTTCCACCACAGGAAACAACTAGTTACAGTCTAATAATTTTGTTCAGTTGACAGGATAAAAACATTTACATTTATGCAAACATTATGTTATATTTCAAAGACAAAGAGCAAAACCTTTCCTTCCAAAAGTGTTTCTGCGAACCGAACCAACGGAAGCAAACTCTTCAGATAGATGCAATGAAAAGGCTGAGATGGTGATGCTGTTGAGCGACCGGTTCGCTAAAGAGGATGTAAAATGCTTGCATTTGAGGTCATGGTATGTAAATCATGCAAGCAACTGGGAAGGGTCAGTGTGTCAGCTTTAAGGATGTTATTTGAAGTCTTTCATCCTTTCATGCTGTATGCATGAGCAGCTCGCAGCCGAAGGGAAAACGAAGGAATGACTTACACCAAGTTGCTGAGTGATGCAAGATTGAGATGTTGCTGCTGTTGCGTTTGCTGCTGCTGCTGTGGCTGCGGTTGCTGGGAAACGGACTGTTGATGCCATGTGGACACACTGGTGGGCAACAAACCGCCAGGTGACGCCAGAGCATGCAGAGCGGTGATGTCAGCGCTGGTCAGCTGGTAATCTGAGGGAGGACGAATCATACAAATGTCACAACTTAAAACCTGCAACATTTCGGTTCCGGTAAGATCTCTCTCTGCGCGTGTTCATTTATCTGCAAAATATCTGATGAACCACTGGATGAGCTTTAATGACCTTTCAGAGAGCAACCACTTGATTTAACATTTGGAGTCAACCCAATTCAGCTAGTTGACCTTCTTAAGGCTACACAGAAGTTACTATAACGCAGCCAGGTTTGCAGATATTGAGCTAAAATTAGACGTGGTAGTAGTTGAGAGTCATTTCCAACATGTACTCTAAGAGCCAACGGATCGAGCAAGAGCTCCCAATACTGCTTGAGATTCAAAACCAGAAAAATGTCATCATTTCTCGACACAAGATGATCTTTGTTTAAATGTCTTTTATAAAAAGTGGTGATCCTTCAAGGCCTGTGATCTTATTAAAGGTTTTTATTTTGTTATTGATTATTCCCCTGAGTTCTTGCCTCACCTGTGTTGTACGCTGTGGGTATGGCGGAGAACGGCAGCCCCTGTGCCAGGAGACTTGGTGTGGCTACAGAAACCACCGGCGTGGTGAGCGTCTGTGCCACCTGAGCTCCAGCTGCCAGCCGCTGGGCGTTCTGCCAGAGAGGAACACAACATCTTAACACAAACCAGCTTACATAAGACTCGGGTCAGTACTTTTCTTCTGGACATGCTGGGAATGAGGAGGCGAACGTGGCTGGATTCGTAATGATGTCACACATCAAGTAAATCTCCGGATGTTCTTGATGGCATGCATCAAAAGTGTCTTTTGTGCTCTGCGTGAGGCATGTAGGAGAATTACATCAAAGGCACTTTATTCAACAGTGTACAAAGAGATACGTTTGATTCAAATTAAGCTCTAAGAAGTCCTAAATGCTGCCAAATCTGTGCAACTAAAAAGGAAAAACTAAGACTTCTTATTTCATGATGAGAGCAAACTGATAAAAATAAAACCTTTTACATCTTATGACAGAATTGTAATAATTTTATTTAAACAAAACACCACTAATATTTTAGCTGACTGGGCATCTAGGTGATTAATCTATATGTCTAATAAATTTTCTTTGTCAAAACAAGAGTACCAACCTTTAATTCACAAAACCTGGTGGAGCGTATAAAATTAAAAATTCATCCAAGTTTGATGGGGACTTATATTTAACCACAAAATAGTTCCAAATACCTTTTTAACAAATGTTACACAAGAATAAACTCTCCCCATCAGTAAAAACTCTCAACTTAAACTCTCTACAGTTTAAGCTTTTTAAATAAAACCATTCCTGCAGTTCCTTTATTCAGGAGTAAATCTCATTTTGTCTAATTTAACGATGACTTTGTCACATGAACTATCATTGGAGGACCAATAAAACCTTCTTTAAACATTTTTTTATTCTAAAACAAGGCAAGATGCTGAACGTTTGCATACAAACTGAACAATTTACAAGATGAAATACTTTCTCTAACACAGATGTGACAGACTTGATGCCACATGTGTGAAACCTATCATAAGTTGAACTGCAGTAAAGGTAAAAAGAAAATTGGGATTCTTTTTAGGAGAAAAAAATATATATAAAATTTTTAACATAAAAGGCCAAAGATATAATAATTCATTGCTGGAATTACTTTCATGTGTGAAAAGAAACATCCATCAAGAATTGTGAATAATGCTAATTGTACAAAGGGAGAAGCGACGGAGCAGAGAGGGGCGAGATTCAATTATCTGCCTCTGAAGAGAGGAGGGGCGGCGAGGTGAGAGTGATGAAAATTAATCACCTTCCTCCAGAAAATGAGAATCCTGCCTGTCAACGTCGAGAAAAATCGTGCAAAAGAGGGAAACAACCACCAGCAGCAGAGAGCTGAAGCCATTACCCTTCTTTCAAAATAAAGAAAACATTCATCTTAGATTTTAATTAGGAATTCTATCATAGAATTATTTATTGTTGGGAACAAACGGCACTTTTGTGTGCTCCATGGCAAATATTTTGGTTTTATTTTGTTCCCCAGATGAAATATTTGTATGCATATATTGTTTTTTACCATTAACAAAAGCCATAATCTCATTACTTATTATCATTATTATATGATTATCTTGGAATAAAACGAGTACATATTGGCAAAAGATTTTAACCAGTTCTCATCCAGTGAAGACTTAAAAAAATGGATTGAAGGCAAAACCCTACAATGTGTTTTAAAAAGTCAGGTTTTCTTTGAAATTTAGTTTTTATGTCTTTTTTTTTTGTATTACATTGTTAGGCCTTTTGAGTTTCACTTGTGTTTGAAAAAGTGTGATATAAAAATGTTTAGTATGACAATCCTGATATTTGTTTTATCCGAATGAGTTTATTAAAATTCCACAAAATGATGTTAGCTTTTAAAAAAAAAAAGGCACAAAAATGCCAAACCTTAAAATATTTGTTTAAAGCACAAGTTTTGAAGATGAACCTAATCAGTTTCATTCTCCTGACATCATAATATTCTTGTTGGTTTTATCTCAAGTCCACAACCAAAAGAACCCTGCTAATACAATAATCTAACCTTTAAACCCATCATTTCACTCATCGTGTCATTTTACTGTACATCAAAATGCATTACAAAGTTAATACAAACAAATTAAGTGAGAAATAAATAAGCGAGTTTAATGCCTTTAATGTAATTCCAGGGATTTTTTTAAAAACTCAACCTTTTAGGTGAATGGTGGAGATGAGTGTATGCGAGTGTGTGAGCAAACAAGAAACATGCTCTGTGGTGTTTTTGCACCACAATGCAGTGTGAGAAACACCCATGCTTCAGATACCATCATACAGAACGATGAAGTGGGCCTGGTTCAAACCTGAAGGGGGTGGGGGGTTTTGCTCACAGACGGTTCTGAAAACGCACCATGTACATATTAATGTACACTCATTATCCCTAAAACCTCCATGATTGTGACGTGAAGGCTGAAGAAATGCTGGAACGACACACTCATGAGTCCTGAACCACATGCACTCAGGTGGGGGGCACAAACTCAAGACCATCCCAGGAAATGTCAGTGAGGTGAGCAACAAAAAACCCTGCAGAGTTCTGAATCCATGCTAAGAATGTGTGGACCGGCAGCAACTCATGCGAGTGACTAAAGTGGGAGAAAATCACCTCGTTTACCAATTCCAGCTCCTCCTCTGTCTGCAAAAGGTGGTAACAGAGAGGGTTATAACTCTGAAATAGCTGTGGAAATGTATGTGAAAAGCCCCAACTTCCATATCTGCATCACTTTAACTACAGATGGTTAAGAGCTTCTCCTCAGATTTGGATCATACATTAATCTTTTTGATTCTAGGAAACAGTTGTAATCAGAACTGTAACACCATTTATTTACCCCAGTACGAGTTGGATGATTCACTACAACTTTACCAGATCAAATATTGAAATGATGGTCAAGTGCAAAGAAAAAAAATAGCTCAAAATCCCTGAAACTTGAAAAAATAATGTCAGCCATCCAACAAATTGTTTGTTTTGTTGATCGTTTCTTTGTCCTAACACTATTTATTGGCAATAACTCTTATATTGTTAAATGGAGCTACATTTGTTATAAAAAAAAATCTGAGTTGAGCAGCAAAGATCAAAATGTGGTGACGCCAATGAAAATCGTGACAAACCATCTCTGCTGATGCCAAACATCTTATTCTGCTACTGACTTTTATTTTGAGCTTCTGGTACCTCAGGTGTTGACAGTCAGGTGTGGCGTCTGACAGTGAGCAACCAGTGGCAATCTCATATCTCCACAGTCTGGGACTGATTTTTATCCTCCAAGACAGCAACGCTCACACCCACAGAGTGGTGTTCATCAAACGACCTCCAGAATTTGGAAGTGGAGAAGATGGAATGGACTGCCTGCAGTCCTGACCTCAACATTATTTTACACCTGTGGAATGAACTCAGGTGGGCTGTTCATTCCAGAGTGACCAGTAAAACCATACTGGCTGACAAGCAACATTGTTGAAAAATAAAAATAACATTGACCTTTTTACAGGTACTAATGCACATACAGTCAGTACTTTGTGATGCATTGTGGTCTAGATATATTCATGCTTACTTCCGGTTCTTTGAAACACTCTTTGAAACACTCTTTGACTAAACGGTGTTCATATTTACCCATGTTCCAGCTGTGCTCTGCCATCATTTCAACATCTGGCAACATTGCACAATGAGGACATTTCGCTATCGCAACATAAAATACCAATAAAACTAATTTACAAATATGTTTGTATATAAAGTTTAACAAAAAACAAGCGTAAAGGACCAAAAGCCTAAAGCTGAACGCCAAGGAAGTAGCAATGAATGTAATGGGGCATGTGGTGCATGGGTTTATGTATGCACACACCAGTACTCATAAAAAGATCAATTCCACAGCAGTGTGTGACCCAGATGGTGAGCAGCAGGAGGAGATACCAGGCTGTTGTGGCTGTGTATGGTTCTTCCACATGCTATTGGGGCCCGTTTGCTAAATTAATAAATTGTTAAATTGAAAATATGCCTCGTTTCTTCAAATTTAAATCATGTAGTTCAATATAGAGTTGGATTTGGGCCCAAAAATCCGACCCCAGCCCGTAGCCATCATTTCCGAACTCCACCCCACCCGATGAATTAACAGTAATTACAGGTCCGAACCTGAACACCCCCCCGCCCCACACACACACACACGCACATGTTTAATTAAGCTTTGCCTGCTTATAGCCTATAATTAATGGTTGGCGGACACGTGTGGCTGAATAAAAGGGGCAGAAGATCGGGGATGTTTGTCCTTTAATGGCCGTCAAAGCGCATTAAATCCCTGCTTCTGCCTGCATTCTGCATTATTCAGACACGGACCCTGCTCTGACATGTCTGCTTTGGGATCTCATGGCAGTAGTCCCATCTGAAACTTAACTGAACTTTTTTTTTTTTTTTACCTCTTTCAAGACTGGTCAGTGCTCAGTCAAATGGCCACGTGCAGCTGGTGATTGTATGGCAAACCATGTTGCCATATAATTGGATCGTCAGTTGCGTGCGTCCGCTGACGCAATCAAAATCCCGACACCGACCCGGTCCGCCCATCCAGCACATTATTATGGCCCATCTCGGCCCAGCCCAAATTCAGCTTCAGGCTCGGGTTAAAAATAAAAGCTCTAGTTCAATAAACAAAACGAAACAAGAGGCAACAGCAGAAGCACAGAATAGTTGGTTGGCAAGAACAGAAAAAATGGCAAGTTTTTCATGGGTTCAACGCTCGCACTCAACTCTGCCGCTCAAGCCACAAATACATTTTCTTAGCGAATGTGGCGGCACCATTTAAGAGTAAATAAAAAGGCTTTCTATCTGTGTATGATTTATTGCCAAGAAGCATCGTTACAACTGAGAAACAAACACATTTAATTAATTATGTATGTTTATGTCCATCTTTACATTCTCCTGAGAGGGACTTTGTGTTTTATCTGTGTCACTGCTTTGTTGTGCTCATTTTCTTTTTCCTAAGACAACTAAACCTTCTTTTAATAATTGCGGGAAGTTATTTGCATCGTGTCATACTTTTAATGGTCAAAATGTTAAGTAAATGCACCCAGACAGTGTAAGTTGGGTTTTGCTGGTCTCACCATCTGCATGAGGCTCTTTCCTCCCTGTGAGGTGATGACTCGGAGATCTGGCTTACGGCTGTTGATCTGCGGGCTGGGAGGTGGGGGTGGAGACTTGGCCGGAACTACTTTCCCCAGACTGTTGCTGTTGGAGACTGTGAGCAGACCTGGGGAGGCCCTGGCACTGGTGTATCCATTAGCTGCAGGGGAGACGGAGGTACGAAGGTACGAATGAACGGAGATCGATGGCAAAAATCAAACAGGTGAATTCACACAGACAAGTTGTGTTACAAAATCTTTCAAATGGCTATTCTACTCTGAGAAGGAATAACTTAATGTTCTGTCAATATCAGAAACAAAAAAAAACGCTTTTCTATGTAGTCAGGAAAAAACACTAAGACTTGACACGGTGCAGTTTTATTTCCTCAAATAAACCAAGTCCTCTTCAGACCTTTTACTAGCATGCATACTGGCTCAGTCACAAATGAACCGCTTCAGGTCCAGCGGTTCACACCTGGCATTCAAATGTGTCTGGAGCAATCAGATCTCAGGTACCCGCTCTAACACGTGATTAAGTGTGTCACGACAACACTTAGTGTGCTGTCAGTGAGCAGCAAACACAAACAAACTCGAGTTGCCCCTTCGCCAAAACGACTCTTTATAAAGTTAATTATCTAACTGATGCAATATGAGGAAAGTAAAGGCGCTTGAAATGATAAAACGATAAATGAGGCATATGAAATGTGAAAGCAATAACTGTGCTGTGACTGTGTCCGTCAACGTTTGTGACATAAACTGCAGAGCAAATTTTACTACACAGAGACCACGGTAGGTTCAATCAGATTTAAAAACAACCAGAACACGCTTTAAACTAGAGATCACAACATCCTGGTAATGCACTGACTGATAAAGTCCTGATAAAATGAGAGATTTATTTTGAGGGAGACATTCAGGTAATAGTTCGACTGCTTGCGTGGGGTCACACCAGGTGTCCTACAGCATTTCTTGGGATGGTTTGTGTAAACTACTATCAAACTAATGTGGAGAAAACATCTCCAGACCTCATTTAAAAGTGGTCCTGGTAAATAAATGGTGTACTGAGAGCGTTCAGGCCAATATTTTGCATCATCCAAGTGCTATCAGGATGGATGTTAGTGTCAGGTCTGAACAGGGTCTTTCTGATACCTAAATGTTCTGTAATATAAAAAGCATTTGCAACCTGAGTGTTTTAGAAAATGATTACTTTTTACTAATAATGGAAGATAAAATAAATATGTGAATGCATTCAAGCAACTTAAAGAATAAAGGTGTGCTTTAATGTCGAACTCTCATTTGTCGCTTTGTTACAATTAGCATCCCTAGACTGATGCAAGGTACGATGACGAACAGTGCAGAAGGAAAAATAAATACTTCAGTATAGGTCAGATCACACAACTATTTGGTTTAAAACAGTGAATATGACTAAACAAATAAAGCTTGAGTTATTAAAAAAATGTTTGACACTACTCACGGACTGGACTCGGACATCCTCCGTTTGAATTATCCAGGTCCCCTCCAAGAAGAGCGCCTATCGTAAAAATGAAAAGACAAGTTGTGAAATTTTGGCCAGTCATCAGTCATAAACTAAATTCTGTTAATTAAAACTACAGGTTTAGTTTTTTATTTCAACTAAAATCATCAACTCAATATTTTTGCTTCATCAACTGAATTTAGATGGCCATTAGTATCCCCAGATTTCAGCAAATCCAAGTTTGCATCATATTCTGTGTATATACTGTAGATAAATAAACTAAATAGTTGTATCATTTGTACATGGGTAATTCAGGTACCCAGGTTTCTAATCATGTGTTTGTGTGAACAAAAGTACCATACATATCAGAATATTCTTTTTTTTTTTTTATCGGAGTCCTTCAAGTTGCAAAAAAGGTTCCTCGAAAGCAGAACACGGACAAATTTATAGTTTAGTGTTAACAATGCAGGTATCAATTATTATTCACAATAGCACTATTCCCCCACAGCACGCATTCTCATTTTGCACCTATAAGCCCAACACAGAAGTTGTTCTGTTACATGGACTGAGACCAGTCTGCGGCACTGTCAAAGTATGAGTTGTTACATAGAGGAAGGAAATCCAGTGCTTAATTTGTAAATCGGGAGGTCCTAAAAAAATACATTTCTGTTATAGTGAATCAACAGGAAGAAAGAGACAAATAATTCACATACAGCTTGGAGAAGTTGAAACAGACAGAACAATCAAAGTGTTTATGTGTCGAAACACATTTGGAAGCTTTAACTTAGTTAATAACCATCTGTTGTCAGCGTGAGCGAAGTTAGTTTCACTTCACGTATCTCTCGTCTCTTCCGCTGCCCGCGTTTGTCCGTTTCACCGCAACACACCCACACAGAAACAAACAGGGGATCAAAACAGGCTGACAAGAACAAAATGACAACAAGGAGCTGAAATAGAGTTTCAGCTCTCTCAGGAGAGCTTCACGCTGTATGATGATGGGTTAAAAATGAAGAAAAACAAACACTATGATGAGTGAAACATAAAAACCCAGTAATCACAGCCTGCAGACCAACAGTTAGCATAGATGCTAACTTAAGTATTAAGGTGTTTGTTGTGGTTTTGTGACCGCAGCACCTAACAGCAGTTCATATGAACTACAATGATAGAAACAAATCTGACTTCAAACAGATAAATGTAAAAGCAAACATTTGAATTAAATTAGGAAAGTTTTTGCACTTTCTGCTGAGTTGCTCACCTGCACTGGCTGGTCGCTGTGGCAACCCAGGAGACACTGTATTTCTCTGAAGAGCCGGTTGCTGTGGCGATAGGAGGTGGGTATCTGTGAGCGGTGACGATGTGACATAGGAGGTAGTTACCAGTGCATTGCCAGGATTAGTAAATTGCAGCGTGCCCTGATTGGTCGCCTGGACCGTGACCGGCATGGAGAATGTCTGATGTGGAGCAGCCGCCTGCTACAAGATCACAAGAAAAAAATAAAATAAACCTATTTGTAGTTAGCTAACTCTGAAACAGTTCAAACCAAAAAACACCTTTTCCATGGATCTTTAAACTTTAAATAGCTGCTAACATTTTCCGAGTTAAGTACAATGTAATAAAAAAGATGGGCATGTAGTGATACATAAAATGAGCTATGCGAGCGTAATAAAACATAATAAAAAGCCATTTCTAGTATTGACAAAGATATAGGCATCAACTACACATTTATTTTCTGTGGTTAATGTAGTTGAACAAGCCGCGTATTGTAAATATCTAAAAATGAGTGAATATTTTTAGCAAGTTGTTGTAAAAGTGAAGAAAAAATCACATTAAAAATCAAACCAGTAAATAAAAGTTGTAACAAAATATGTAGTCTAATGTGTCAGCAACAGTATACTGTTGATAAGGTTTCTTTTTTAACTCAAAGTACAAAAAGTAAATATGTTTGTATTTTTTTAGCAGTTCCTTGTGAGCGGTTTAGGGTAAAACAACAATACCGGACTCATTTTTGACTAGGATGTCATTAAAGGGAGAACTCTGTGTGCGATAAGAAACATCTTCAGTTTAAAGCTCTTACTCCGTAGCGTTTGAAGAGAACATCCAGGTCCTCTGTGGTCTTACGAAACTTGTCATCATTAAGAGGAATTTGATCGATCGAGTCTTCGCCGTCCGGCTCTGGACTGTCGCATCCGTTGAAACCTTTCTTTCTTAAAGTCTAACGAAGTAAATCACACACAAGACAAAAAAAAGTGTTATTTACATCAGTATAGTTTTAGTAATGTTGTACTTCATGCATTCTTAGACCCCACTGAGGCTTAATTAAGAGCTGCTTCATGTTTACAATGAACATTTTTCATTTAAAGTTAGCTACAACTTTAAAAGCACAACACATTAAGTAATTAAAGAACTGCTTTTGTTGGAGAAACAAAGTATTTGAACCAACTTCTCTGAAGTCTAGTTGTAGGAAAATTTCATTTTTAATCCCACAGAAACAAACTAAATGAAACAAAACGCTCAGAAATCTATTTTATCAGATACACAAAACAGGAAAAAATTATTTCCGTGAACACGTTCAGGATTTTCAAGTTTATTTTTAGGTACACTCTGCCCTAAAAGTAACAAGTTTGGTGAAACTGGGGCGTACAGTTTCAGCTTTTATTAAAAAAAGAAAATTGTAAGTTAAATACAGCCGGATGTGTTTGTGTTAGCTGGTTAAACAAAATCTAAAAGTCAGTTAGGTGATAACAGATGGTATGAAAGTGTTTATAATCTTCTATGATCAACACAGACTTTAATCTTCAGGGTTTTGGGTCTTTCACATAAGAAGGAGATACTTTTAATTTTATTTTTTGCTTCTTGTTCCCTGAAATGCAACAATGGCCATCTGAGGACATTTTTTAAAACACGTTGCTCCAACAAAATTAAGACCAAAAAAAAAAAAAGTTTATTAGAAAAACAATCTTTGATGTAGCACAAGACTTATTTATGTCAAAAGCTTTACATATTTCTGAATTTTAAACTTCAGAAAAAGAGCAATTCGCTCTGACTGTCACAAATGAGCAAGTTTGGGTAGTATTATAAAAACTGCATAAAATGTGGTCAATTAAATTTTTTGTTGGTCCCTAATTAAAGACTTGGATCTAAGAGACTTATTTGCAACAAAAAAACCTTTATAAAAACATGATTTATAGACCATTTTGCATCAATAACCAAACAGTTACCGTGGCCAAACTGTGGCAGAATTATCTAAAAATTTGAGTTTAAAACCCTCTGATCACAAAGTTTTTTTTTAATCAAGGTCAAAATCTAAGTTCAATCAACTATTTATTAAATTAAAACCCTAAGCTGTGTAACTGATTGGTGCTTAAATCTGACAGTCCATCTAAATATGACTGAATAAACAACTTTCTATTAGATTTTTACCAATCTGATTATTTATTAATATGGTAATACTTTTAAAATGTTTAGTTTTCAGCACTACTCAGTTTTTAGCACAATTTTTCTTTCATTGACATTAACATGACAAGTTGAATTTGCTAAAGGGTGTTTGTTTTGGTACAGATGTTTGCATTTATTTTATCTAAAGCTAGACATGAACTCCTCCAGAGGATGTTATTGTTTTCACGGTGGCTTTAATGGGTAAAAAAAGACATTTGTAACAACTCTGACTTTAGGTTCAACATATCTGGCTCATCTTAGCAGCACAGCCTTCAGGTCAGCTCTCTGCCTGTTTTCTTGTAATCAAGCCCTGCAGATGTGGTCAGTTTACCTCAATGATGTCTGCGTTGGTCCGGCTCTCGTGCGGCTCGTTGTACTCGGTGTATTTGAGCAGGACCTTGTCCATATCAGTGCTGGCGTACTGGAACAGCTTGTTCGCGTGGTTGAAGATGATCAGGGCGATCTCACAGTCGCACAACACACTCAGCTCGTAGGCTTTCTTCATCAAGCCAAACTTTCTCTTTGTGAACGTCACCTGGGAAGAGGAAACAGTTTAAAGCAGAAACAAACAAAGTGATTTCTGTTGGACTGACTAAAGCTGGCCTGGCAGTGGAGTGATGCTGAGGAAAAGGGTTATATAGGATCTTTGGTCCCACACAGACCGTTGCATGTATAAACTCTAACAGACTGACAGATTAGATAATAAAGGCAAATTTTTTTATTTTGTTTTGTTTTTTTTGATAATGAACAGCAGTACTGAGTCAGTTTTTAGTCAACACATCCTTTGTTTTGTCATAATCATTTGGCAATAATTATTACAGAAATGAAGCAAACTTTAAACTCTTCGGTTTAAGGTAAGCAGTTCTAACTTATTTTCTATTGACATTTAATACATCATTTATTAAATTTATTTTATTTATCCTATTTTGATGTTATCAGCTGGTTATATTTTAGCTTTGATTCTCTAAAGATTAACTTTAATCAAGCTTAAAAACTGTATAAAATATGACATTTATTTATATGGCTTACAAAAAAAGGTTGAGCAGCAGTAGATTTTCACTTTCACAGTTTCTTTAGGAATTAAGGGATAGATTTTTGCAAGACCATCATTGTGTTGAACAGTTTATTATATATTTATGTATCAATCATTGTTATTGTGATAACAAACGTCAAAATCTCTCAGGTTTACAATGACCAGCCTCAAAACATCTACAGTAATTCATTGGTTTCAGATGGAATTAAAGTTTGTCTTTTGTCAATATGATATTTACGGAGTTTAGATGATTTTGTTTGCATGTTTATTAAATAAATTAGCAGAAATAATACACAAAAGAAAATTAACAATCTTACTGACAAAATAAACTAAACTACACATGCTCTCATGTTCTTTTAAGTGTTTGATGTCCAGACAAATTTGCAAGTGGGACACCTAGATTTGCACAGTCTTAATTGCTCCGAACTGCTGGGAAACTGCTGAAACAAGAGAAAAGAAAAGCATTTAACTTCCTGACAAAATACCTGAGAAAACAAACCAGAGCAAAGATTCTGGCTGTGACACTAAATCTATAAAAGAAGTGCTACCAATGCAGCGTTTTATGGGATTAGACTGTCTGCAAAATGACTAACGTAAATTGTGGAAACAAACAAACTAAGGGACTAAGACGATGTGGCGAACATATTCAGCGATTCCTTTTCAGCTTGTGGGTATAAAAACACCAAAAGACCAGTCTCATTCAGAGCCATTATTAATATGAATCAGGATGGTCAATTCATCAAGCGAGAATAAAAAGAAAACAGAAAAATATGCTGAAAAGGCTAACTGTCGAGCCAGAAATTATGTAGATTTAACATAAAGTCAGTCATAGATGTATTAATGCAGAGTGATGATCTCACCCTTGTGCAAAATGAGCACAAAAAGCCAACTAAATTATATTATTTTTGCACGCCAGCTGTAGTGTGCGTGTGCTTTGTATAGCCTATTAAACCTTTTTCTTGGGTGATCTTGCAAACAGAGGCTGCACAATGTGTTTAGGTTGTTAAAAACCTTTGTACGATTAAAAACACACACAAAAAATGCTTTTGTAGAAATAAAAAAAATTCATGGGAACAAGCAAAAAGGTCTCCATTTTTAAGGTGATGGATGAAATAACTTGAGTTTGATTGCTTAGGAAATAACTGTAAAGCGTAAACATTTAGGAGACAAAAGTGAAGCGTTTGTTCAAAATCCAGATGCAGATTTTGACAACTCATAAAACAGTGTGACAGGACTCTTTAAGGCTTTTAATTAAAGAAATAAACAGCTCAGCGTTTTGTTGCATAACACTGACTCACCTGCTTGTTTCTTTCATCAGTGATCCTTTGGATCTGAATCTTTTTCCTACCCATGATGCTTTGCAGTTGTGAAGACAAATGTTGGAGTCGGTCAAGTGGAAAAGCGCCTCTTTGAAGATGAGAATGGAAGTGCGGCTGAAAACCACTCAAACACAGTCATGCATCTGATAACATACGTGCAGACGCATTTCTCTGTCCAGGTGTGGCGAGGCAGTGCGGTTGACTCTTGCGCCGAACAGCAACGAGAGCGAAGAGCGGGTGCTGCAGAGATATGTGACGTGGAGCAGAGCAAGAGCTCTTCAGTTCATATTTTATTCAGCGGGGACTGAAGTGTGCAGCTGCTGTGGGAAAGATGGACGTCACTTCTCTCCTGCGTGACAAAAAGACACAAAAACTTTGCTCAAAATCACAAGATGGCTAATAAAATATTTGACCCGAAACGACAAGGATAATAACCTGCAAACAAAAATTAAAGTGCTGCCGGATCACAAGGGCAGGGGGTTACCTGCAGGACCGAGAGGAACCGCCCACTCAGCTGATGTCTGCTCCTTAAACAACACACTTTCTGCTTTTTCTATTTTTAGAAGAGTTGTATTAATGTTTCCTCATCTGGTGTCTCGATACCAAACGCATCCAGTGACTTATTTGTGTTCATACGAGTTAACACAACAGCTGTGATTGCAACATCAAAACTTTGAGCTCACCTTTTAGTTTTCAAAAGTGTTATTGTAACTGAACACAGCCAGAGTTAAGTGCACCTAAAGGAGAGGTGATGCATTGCACATTATACACAACACGTAAATCACATCCAAAAAAAAAAAGTATCTTGAACTATAACGAATACTGTAGTTTGAAAATATTTATACCAGTATCTTTTTAATAGACACTGATATTCAACCCTAAAATGTGGTCCATATTCAATATAAGCAAGCGGTATGCCGACTTCCCTCGTGTCACTGAAGGATTTAAATAGTGAATGTTTGTAGTTTTCAAGATGAGCGTTTGTCTGGACTGGAACTGAACAGGGAACGCAAACCTTAATTTTTTTTTGATGCAAGACATTCAAGTGGGTAGGAGTTACTCTGTGTAGAAGAATAGAGGTAAGGTTGGGTTTTTTTTTTTTTTGGGCTTATCCGAGGCAGCACAAAGTAACAGATCCTGGCGAGTGGAGGGAGCAATTTTATTCAATTCAATTCAAAAATACTTTATTAATCCCAGAGGGAAATTAAATGTTGTTGTAACTCATCATCCTGGTTTCATTAATGAGTTGTTCTAGATGCTGATGGCTGTGGGCAGGAAGATCTCTTGTAGCGGTCTGTTCTACAGCAGATCTGGAGAAGCCTCTGACTGAAGACACTGTTGTTGTATGCCAGTCTGATGAAGAGGATGCTGAGGGTTGTCTATATTGTTCTTCATTTTATGAAGAATCCTTCTTCGTACAATCATCTCCAAAAGTTCTAGAGGAGTCCCTAGAACTGAGCCAGCCTTCTTTATGAGCTTCTTGATCTTTTTAAGTCTCTAGCTCTGGTGCTGTTACCCCAGCAGATGATGGCAGAATAAATTTTGCTCTCTACAACAGACTTATAGAAGATATGCAGCATCTTGAAGGACTTCAGCTTCCTCAAGAAGTACAGTCCACCACCAAGCACAATGACAGAGCCTGTGGGTGGCCAATGGTGGTCTTGGCCAATATAGATTAATCTTTGGCCACCCCAAGAACCACCCCAGTCATTTAAGGAAACTATACTTTTAAGCAATATAAAAACTAGAAAGCACAAGTTTACATACATGCATAAATGGCAGCAGCCATCTTGGATGGCAGTTTAATTTACAATAAGGACCTTTCTTAAACCAAATGGAAGTAGGTAGCTCACTTATCCAACTCACAAGAGGGACAGAAAGTATTTCCCTTTGCCCCCTTTGCTCCGCGACAAGAACAAAAATGAAGCTGTAAGCTGAAGTCTGTTGCAAGGTACTGGTACATGTGTGTACACTGGGCCACCCCAATCAATTGAGAAACTATACTTTTATTTAATATAAAGTCTAAAAAGTATAGTTTCCTCAAATGATAGAGGTGGTTGGTTTACATGTGTAGTAGTGGCCAGGTTGGATTTAGATGTGGCGACCCTATTTTTAATAGTAACCTTTCTTCTGCCGATGCAGCCACACACCAAAATGGAAGTCAGTACCTCACTTGTTTTCCAAGTTATCATGCTCACAACATGCACCGACGGACTAACAGTGGGTATTTCCAATTCCCCCTCTTGGCTCCACAGTAAAATTGCAGGAACTTCAGACGCGTAGAGTCCTGTTTTGTCACTAACAGAAAATCTTACCTCAATATGTTCATTTGCATACATATAGAGTGCTGTGGAATTTCACATTATTCCTAATAAATCCATGTGTATGTAAATGTTGTTGAAGACGCAATAAAGATGTTCCCATGTAAATAGTCATGAGTCTTGAGAGATCTGCTCATAATTAGACTGTTTATTACTGCTATACGATGAGATCTCAACACCTGTCTGCTCAACATGAAAATAAAGCGTTTACAACACAAACAGTGAGTTGCTGAGGGCAACATTTAAACTAATATATCTGAAAAACCTCAGAACGGCGTTTCCCACTCAAAATGCAATCAATGTGTGGGAAAAAAAGAGTTTAATATCAAATCATATTAACAGCTGCATTTTTCTTGAGTTTAGTAACAAAATAATTTCAGGTAAGTAAGTAGTTATTTAGAGACCAAGATGGGATTTAATACCTGAGGTCAACGAGTTTTCAATTTGCTCTCTGAGGTTTGAAATCATTCCACCCACAAAAACAGCAAACAGGTCGTGGGATGTTTTATCCGATTTATAAAACAAGATATCCTCTCTGAGAAGGTATTTATTAAGATTTTTCTACAGCAAGCTTAAGGAAATAAACTTTAGCAATTTATTTTTCGTCAATCACCTTCCAACAATTCAGTGACAATTTGAAGATTTAAAATATTACAAACAGATATACTATGACGAAAAACATGTTAATCATTTAAAAATGAAATGTAAACACTAATCTGACAATAAGCTGAAGTTATTGTTTTAATTTCTTGTTTGATGTGCTCTTAATTACTCATACACGATTCTTAGTATTCAAAACAAAAATGATGTGTAGAGAAGTAGAATAATGTGTTTTAGACAATATATCTATGTTTTCAACTAATTTTAATTTGAAGTTCTCAGATATTACAAATATACGATCATTCATTAGGATGCATGTAGAGACTGCTTTATAAAGCTCCAAAAGAACAATCTTTGTGTAAATATTTCAATAATTAATAACACATATACAGGTTTTAATTCAATATAGCAGTGCTACTGGGATAAAAAAAAATGCCTTGTATAAATCTATCTAGAGAGGCTCATTATCTTTTATCTCCCCTGTTTTTTATTGTGGTAATAATTTAGATATGTCTTCACCATTTGTAATAATATTTGAGAGCTGCAAAAGAATTTCATGGCAGTAATAAAAGCTTATCAGATATTCCTTGAGGACTTCGCTACTCGTCTTAACTACTGCACTTTTAGTAGTTTAAAAAAACAAACAAACAAAAAAAACTGACAAATGTAGCTCTCCCTGAAAGAATGACTGCCGCCTTTCATATCCCAATTTTAATTTTTTTTACAAAAACACAATTTGGTTGCGCTCAGATTATATTAGGAGTAACTCTCAGCTACTACCACATCAAATTTTAGTTTAAGATCTGTAAAACTGACAAAGTTAATGAGCTATATATTCATCCCATAATTAATTTATGAGATTTTCATTACAACCTGCCCAGTGATTCGAAGGTATTTTGCTAACAGACAGGCATACAAATAGGCAGTTACACGATAGTCCACCTTTCATGGGGCGGGTGATAAAAATGACCAGTCACTTAACCCTAAAGGAAATAAAGTGTTTTCGAATAGAATGAATTTTATAATTTCATTCAGATGGACTTTTGTTCTGGTTCATCAATCGTTAACCTGGAAAATAACAGCAGTTTGCCATTTTCTCTTTGCTTAGCTGTGTCGAGTGTGACAACATGGCGCCGAAGAGTCAGAATGTATTCACAGTAATACACCGTTTACTGCTGCACTTACGCCTCCTGCAGCGAGAGATTTTAATATATCTACGACTGTGATTTACCCTCACAGTCAGACTGCATAATCAATCATATGTTAATCACAGTTTCAGCATAAACATTGTATTAAACTCAGTCAGGTGCAAGGGTGGTGCGTTGCATTTAGGATGGCTGTTTTAATTAATTTAATCAAGCTCTGCCTTCAGCTGAGAGGAGCCGTTGTTTTACTTTTGATTAATTAGAAACGGAAATCACACGTTTGAACATTTCTATTCAGTTCTTCTGTGCTGATATTGATAAAACAATAGTAAATAATACTAATAAATAATAAAACAAAGCACTTTTTCTGTAAGTCCAGTCCGTAAAACGAAGCAAATTAATCAAGAAAATCTTTGTCAGATTAAAAACATTGATTAGCTGCAGCTTCTATTCACATAAGAACCAATCCTTACCAATCACAGCTTCCACTTCGTTCACTTTAGGTATTGATTAGGTATTTTTCATGCTTTTAATATTCTTAATGGAGGCAAATGGAGCTTTCAAAATAAGAATGAGACGATGATTGCAAAGCTAATTTGCCCCAATATCATGACTGAATGAATAAATAATGTTACTGAATGTCACTATTGAATCAGTTCATAATGAACAATTTCACCGTCTTTCCAATTACCTTGCATTATGAAACAAACAACGGGTATTGTGAGTACATAAATCACAAAGCAAGCACTGCATTTACTTACCACTCTCAACTAAACGCAGTTTCTACTGAAACTGACCACCAAAAACAACTTGAGCACCTAACCCACGCAAACAAGACAACCTGAAAATTACATCAGCACCTGCAACAAGCTACAAACTGATGCAAGAACTAAAACAGACCGCTGAAACTAAAGCAACAACTACACAACTACCGGTACTGCAACTAAAAAGATGAGTGACGGATGTGCCTACAACTTGACAACTTGTCTGCAATGAAATGTTTGAACATAATGGTCTCAAAATCTCTAGTTTTTCAAGGAATGAACTGCATCTTATTTTTTATTTTCTAACATCTTGCTGACAATTTATAAGTCAACTTGGGTCACTAATGAATAAAAAAATACTCACAACTTAGCCACACTGCAAAATACAGCAGTTTTAAATCAGATTAAGTAATTTAAATCGTATTAGGAATGGGTTTAGATTGTGTATTTCCTTAATGAAACTAACTTTTGTTTGTAACCTTGGAAGTTTTTATAATAAATAAAGTGCTATGTGTTATC